ATATCATATCTCATAAAGGAAAATATACAAAGAACTCCTTTTTTTTTTTTTGGTACCGGGGATCAAACTCAGGTCCTTGCGCTTGCAAGGCAGGCAGCAGAACCACTGAGCTAAATCCCCGGCCCAAAATTTTGTTTTTGTGTGTAAATTCTGTATTGAGTGACAAGCACAACCACAGCCATCTTTCCCGCACAAATATGAATGTGGCCATCTTTTTCAGAACAGTGGAATGAATTAAGTTTGTGAACTGAGGCACTATTTCTTTTATATATATATATATATTTTGGTGGGGTTTTTTTGTGGCACCGGTGATCATACTCAGGACCTTGTGCTGCGAGGCAGGCGCAGCGCCACTGAGCTAAATAAATCCCCCACCTATTTTTGGTGTTTTGAGACAGATTCTCCCAATGTAGTTCAGGCTGGCCTTGAACTCACTATGTAGCTCAGGCTGACCTCAAACTCATGGCAATCCTCCTGCCTCAGGCTCCCGCATATTGGGATTACATGGGTGTGCCACCATGCTCCGTTCCAACTATACTTTTGAGATCATCATTTTTACTATTTGATTTTTGAAAACAGTGTATAGTTTTCAGTTGTCTAGTTTTTTTTTCTTTTATACCAGGGTTTGAACTCGGGACCTTTCGCTTTCGAGACAGGCGACAGAACCACTGAGCTAAATATCCGGCCCTCAGTTGTCTAACTTTAACCAAGTAATAATACTAATAATTCTAGTTGAAAAATATAAGTATCTCAAAAACACATTATCTGACTTGGTAAAATAGAGTTCCAAATATAGTTTTCATTCTCCTGAGATACTAGGAGGAGATGCTATATTTTTTTTGGTACTAGGAATCGAACTCAGGACCTTGCACTTGCCAGGCTGGTGCAGCACCACTGAGCTACATCCCCAGCCCAGAGATGCTATATTTTTATTTATTTATTTATTTTTGGTACCGGGGAAAGATGCTATATTTTTAGTGAAAACACAGAATTTTTTTTTTAGTTTTACCTTAGTTTTATTTTCTAGAAAGCTCATATTAATTTTGGGGTCAATTTTAGTTCCACATAAACAAAGTGTCTTGAATATTCTTATGATGTTATTTCCTGTTCTATTGATATTTTTCCTGACACTGATTTTTTTTCTTTCATAAATTCTTCTAATAACTAAATTGTTCATGGAATGAGACAACAGGTATTTATATGGAAAAATTAATAAACCAATATATTTAATCTTTTTTCAAAGTCAACTCTTTTTTTCTGGTACCAAGGATTGAACTCGGGTCCTTGCGCTCGTGAGGCAGGCAGCGGAACCACTGAGCTAAATGCCCAGCCCTAAAGTCAACTCATTTTTAAGAACAAAATATATTTGAACAAGGTTTGAATATCAGAGTTCTGGGGTATATTCAGGGGTATGATCAAATTTATTATTTTAATCTACAGCAGTGATATTCTGAGACTTGCCATTTTACTTAACCTATATATTATGTAAGACTTACTGTTTTTCCAGATGCAGGTTTTCTCTTCCGAGTTTCTTTAGAAGATTTAACTGGTTGGTTTCCATGTGGCTCCACAAAGACAGAGTAATTATTAGTTGGTTATTTCTTAAAGAATAGTCAATAGTTGATCTTTCAACTTTTATGTAGTTTTTAAAAACAGCTTTACTGAGACATAATTTGAATACTATATTTACCTATTTAGAAGTATACAATTCAATAATTTTAAGTATATTCAGTTGTACAACATATCCCCAATCTTAGAACATTTTCAGCATCGCAGAAAGAAGTCATATATCATTTAGCTGTCACACTCTCATTTTTCTATCCTCCCACCAGCCCCAAGTTTTTCTCAATAGTGTTCCCAATTCTGAGCTTTACATGTATGGGATCATATGATATGTGGACTTTTGTGACTGTTTTTCAATTAGCATAATACTTCCAAGGTTCATCCAAGTTATTCCAAGAATGGTACTTCATTCCTTTTTATGGCTGGCTATTCCACTGTGTGGATATCTACAATTTGTTTATCCATTCATCTACTATTGAACATTTCAATTTTTCCTACATTTTGACTATTGTGAATAATGTTATGTATGTAGTTATTAAAATGAAGATTAGGAGGCAAATTAGTAACTGTTATTACATTATTTTCTAAAAGGACATACTGTACTTCTTACACTTGAAATGTCCTTTCCAATGATAACTTCCTTATTGTGTGTATTTATATTACTGAACATTTTCATTTCTTGACCTTGTCTAGCCATAACTCATTCACAATTCTCAAAATCAGAGTACTCTGGCTGAGGTTCATATTTATTTATTTATTTTTAAAATTTATTTATTTATTTTTTTGGTACCAGGGATCCAACTCGGGTCCTTGTGCTTGCAAGGCAAGCGGCAGAACCACTGAGCTAAGTTCCCAGCCCTGAGGTTCATATTTAAAAGGTGAAATTTCAGAAGTAAATTTATGTCCTCAAAGCATCTTTTTTTTTTTTTTTTGTACTGGGGATCAAACTTGGGTCCTTCCACTTTCAAAGCAGGTGGTGGAACCACTGAGTTAAATCCCTGGCTCCCTCAAAACATCTTTTATCTTTTTTTTCTTCCTAGTACTGAGGATTGAACCTAGGGTGTCACACTTAGCTACTTTTAAAAAATACATATTTTATTTTATCCCACTCCCTCCCAACCTCCTTCCCTCCCTGTGTACAAAAGCTGTTTCCATTTTTTTCTTTTTCACTTTTATTTTGTCCCTGCCTGCCTCCCACCCTCCTTCCTTGTTCCCCTTCCCATTCGAACACCTTCCCATTTCCCAAAATCCATTATACATTTCAGTCCTTATTTCCGCTTTCAGTTTCTCACATTAGAGAAACAATGTGGTATTTAAACATGTGTGTCCGATTTATTTCACTCAGGAGTATGGTCTCAAGGTCCAACCATTTAACTATAAATGTCTGAAGTGCATCCTTCTTTATGGCAGAGGAGTACTACATTGTGTAAAAAAAACCCCGTATCTTCTTTATGCACTTGCCAGTTGATGGGCATCTGGGCTGTTTCCAAGATTTAGCTATTACAAATTCTGCCACTAAAGGGGCCGGGGATTTAGCTCAGTGGTTCCAGCACCTGCCTCACAAGTACAAGGTCCCAAGTTTGATCCCCAGTACCAAGAAGAAAAAAAAAAGAAAAAACAAATTGTGCCACTATAAACATGGGTGTGCATATATTGCTGTGGTATGATGCTTTGAATTCTTTTGGGAAGATACCAAGAAGAGGTATAGCTGGGTCAAATGGAACCTCTAGCTTTAGTCACACTTAAGCTACTTCACCAACACATTTTTCCTTAATTTTGATACAGGATCTTGCTAAATTGTCCAGATTGATCTTTTTTTTTGGTACCAGGGATCGAACTCAGGTCCTTGCGCTTGCGCAGCAGGCACTGAAACCACTGAGCTAAATCCCCAGCCCCTGTCCAGATTGATCTTGAATTTGTGATCCACCTGCCTCAGCCTCCGAAGCAGCTAGGTTTACAAGTGTGCGTCATTATACCAGCTCCAAAGCATAATGTTACATTACAAAGAAATCTTCCTAATACTGTTTTAAATGTTTGCCTCTCTCCCTATATCCTAGTAAAGAAACTCATCCTGTATGGGAGCTGGCAAGAAAGAACATTTTACTGCTGTAGTTATTAATTCTTGACATTTATCTCTTTTACCATCACGCTAGTCTAAATGCTACTTTCTGCCAGTTCTAACTTCCCAGAGATTGTGAAGAGAAAAAGACACCAAAAATGGCACTATAATCTACTGTGTTCTGGTAAATGTTTAATAACCAGCTCTGTGAGAGAAACATACCCTAAGGCATTTGTTGATTTCTGTCTCATCGATTCTATGTCTAATTTCAATCTATCAACATGATGTTTTTGAATGAAGATTTGGGAAAAAATAGTACATCACTGACGGAGAGATATTTATTTCTTAGTTTTGGACATAATATTTTATATTTTACAGAATGCTGTTTCTTCACCCCTGAACCTTTGAGAGTTAACTTAAATGTCTAAAATCAAATATGAATTTCTATTTTAGTATAAAAAACTAAAATAAAACTGATTTTTTGCTTAAGAACATAAAATTTACTTTATGCAAGATATATACAAAAGATTAATTTGTAATGTCTTATTAACGAGATAATCAGCAAGACAGAACATTCTGATATTCTAGGAAATTTTGTGGAGAATCTAAATATTATCTCCTCTCGGGCTGGGGATTTAGCTCAGTGGTTCCACTGCCTGCCTCGCAAGCTAAGGACCCAAGTTCGATCCCCGGTACCAAAAAAAATAAAAATTAAAAAAATTAAAAAATAAATAAATATTATCTCCTCTCAAAGCTTTTTGTGGATTCCTTTTTTTTTTGTCATAGGCAGCATTTCATTTAATGGAAAAAATCAACTGGATAGAAGATATCAACATGCGTAATAAACAGGGTTAAACATTTTTTTTCATGAGAATATTCCTTCAATTTTTATTATAATTTCACTTATTTGCAGACTGGTTTCATTGTAAAATATATTTATTTTTTTGGATTCCTCTCTTTAATGAACCTCTAGTAAAATTATTCTTTCCTTTGTGTTTCTAGGCAGCCTATCAATGTTTTTATAGTTCCCCTATATCACTGCTTATTTACTTTTGGTTACCAAACTTTCTGCTAAGATTAGGAACTACATGTTAACTAGATTATATTCTCAGTAACTAGTAAAGTACCTGACACATAATAGGTACTTAATAAATATTGGTTCAATAAATGAAGTAGTGATATGGGGTGAAATTACAAGTATATAATGGAAAACAAACCTAAGTGATATTTACCATTTTATTCTGAAAGACTTTTCCACTTCGTGTTTTGCTTTCAGATACATCAAGTTCAGATGTTTTACTGACTAACTGTTCAACCTAGAAAATAAAGTAACTACATAAAACCACATAATAAAACTTTGTCACAACATAATAAATGGGATTTAAAAATTAAATCACATAGGTGGGTGCCGTAGCACACCCCTGTATCCCAGCACTCAGGAGGCTGAGGCAGGAGGACTGCTGTGAATTCAAGGCAGCTTGGGCTATATAATGAGTTCAAACCAGGCTAACTACATAAGTGAGACCCTGTCTCAAAACAAAAAATTAAATCACACAAAATTTAGGATCTTCTCATATTAAGTTAATGAAAACCAGTAATTTTGAGTTGGTAAAGATACTGAAACTGACACTGTACACAGCTGACTACTTACTGAACTGAGACACAAATGATCACTAGGCATTACCCTTCTAGAAGATACAAATGTCAGCTTACTCTCACTTGAGAAAGGGGCTGGGCAGAGGAATGTGGTCATCAATCATCAACTCCATTATTTCCAAGATCACATTCTCTGTTATTTCAGTAATTTTACTGTTGCACATGTAAAACAAAACCATATTCCATTCTGAGGCAACAAAAATGTATTATAGACCACATCTGTAAATACAAAACAGGGTGTAATAAGTAACTGTGTAAGATTCTACTGAGCTCTGAAATTCTTTTTTTGTTGTTGTTTTTTTGAGACAGGGTCTCGCTATGTAGTGCAGGCTGGCCTTGTACTCACTATGTAGCCTAGGCTGGTCTCGAACTCATGGAGATGGTGATCCTCCTGCCTCAGCCTCCCAAGTGGCTCAGGCATGTGCCACCATGCCCAGCTGAGCCCTGAAATTCTGAGATTCTATGAATAGTATTTAGGTTTACTAAACAAATTCAGAATAAATATGCTCAAAAATTTTCAATATATAACAGCCAGTTTTTGTTAATAATGAACATTCTAAGAACTTAATTTTATTCTAAAAGATCTAAAATTTAAAAATCTGAAAACTAAATAATCAGTCTTAGGAAAAGTTAAAAGTGGACTGGGGATGTAGCTCAGTGGCCCCCTACCTGCCTGGTAAGCACAAGGTCCTGAGTTCTATCCTCAGTACAGAAAAAAAAAAAAAAGAAAGAAAGAAAAAAAAAGTTAAAAGTCAGATGGAACTATTAAGTTTATACCTGAAAGGGAGAAAGTGAAAGATTCGGACTTTCTTTACACCTCATAATTTCATCTTCCTCAATCATTAAATTTGGTTCTGTGAAAAAAAAAAAGTTAAAGTGGTATAAACTTGAATTGGTAGTTAATCTAATCTACACACACACACACACACACACACACGCATCTTTTTTCTTTTTTTTCTTTTTTTTTGAGACAGGGTCTTGCTATGCAGTTTAGGCTGGCTTTGAACCCACTATGTAGTTCAGGCTGGCCTCAAACTCACAGTGAGTGACCTTCCTGCCTCAGCCTCCTGAATGTTGGGATTACAGGCATGCACCAGCAGGCCCGGCTAATCTGTATTTTTGTTGACTTTTTTTACCTTCAGTTTTAGAAGTTCCTGAGTTTTTTTTCTGTACTTCCATTTTAGTTTCAAGGTCAAAGTCATCCTACATAATTAATAAAAAGATGGATACATTGAAAAAATCAAGGATAGAAGTTATTTATGAACAAATTTATTTCATGTGAAGTTTAAATATACAACTACAACTATTTGATGCTTGCTAGACTTAAAAGCAGTCCTAGAATTACTATCACAACACAACTTATTCAAATAAAATATAAACTACTACTTTTCTCTACCTTGTAGGGTTATTTTAAGGACAAATAATACAAATATACAACTTTCTCTAAAATGCATGATAGGGTCAGGGATTTAGCCCAGTGGTTCTGCCGCCTGCCTTACAAATGCTAGGTCCTGAGTTTGATCCCCAGTACCAAAAAACCCCACAAAAAAACCAAAACTGTGAGCTAAAATGCATGATAATTCTAAGAATATTTAGATTTTACTATTGTCTGATGGCACTATATTAGACATGTTCATGCAACAAGCCCCTTCCCTTCCCTCACTCCTTCTCCCTCTTTCTTCTTTCATCCATTCTCTCTTTTCCCTATTTTAAAATATTTATTTTTGAGACAGGGTCTCTCTATATAGCTCAGGCTGACCTTCAATTCATTATGTAGCCCAGGCTGGCCTCAAACTCAGGGCTGTCCAGTGCTGGGGATTATAGGTGTGTGCTATCACACCCAGCTACCTCTTCTTTATTGCTATTTTTTGAGAGCGCTGGGGATCAAACTCTAGACCTTGTGGATTTTAGGCAAGTGCTCTGTCACTGAGATACATTCCCAACCCATAAGCTACCACTTTTATACTTCTGGAATTTCTGTGTGTTGGCATACACTCTGGCCAAGCCCAACCCCTCATCAGGAAGTTAATGATGGAAAGGCTCCGTCATGGTACACTAGAAATAGCAAGAGATTTAAAATCCCAATTATAATTTATTGTTGTCTTTGTGACTACTTATGTCAAAGATATTAAAATAAAGAATACTACAAAAATCCCAGTATATTTGTTTATAAAATAAGGATAGGATTTAGATTTTAGGAAAAAGTTTCTTCTAATTGAATTGGTTGAATACTGAATTTTCTTTAGTAAAATTGTGACCACAGAGCCTAGTTCAGAATAGTGAACCTCTCTGTACATACTAATTTAGAATAAAATGAGACAAGAGAAAACAAAAAAAGTGAGATTAAAGGGGTATAAAGGTGAAAGATTAAAACAATGACTTTCACATTTGCTAGGAATGAGGGAACCAAAAGTACACTTTCCTACTTCTAGTCTCCCACTCACTAGTCAATAATGAGAATGCAAACTAAAGCTAAGTGCAAGACACAGGAAGATTATAAATTGAAAAAGGTATTTTTCCTGCCTTCCAGAAACTTCCAGGCTGCTTCACGAATGTGACTTTCCAGGCTCTGAAGAAATTCATGCACAGGCTGTACAAGAATTTAGTTCACGCCCAGGCTGTGCAAGAATCTAGTTGGGGTAGGGTACGAAGGACTCCATCATTAGTTGGGGAACTGTACTAGTTCAGTGATATTCAAATTATGCCCTATAGTCTTTTGGGCTCCTCAGAGTTCACTATGAGGTTAAGTGAGGTAATAAATGGCTAGGCTTCTAGGACCATTTTTGCTTCAGTAAGAATAGCTGCGCTTGGGCTGGGGATTTAGCTCAGTGGTTCCACCACCTGCCTCCAAAGCACAAGGACCCAGATTTGATCCCCAGTACAAAAAAAAAAAAAAAAGAACCAAGATGCATTATGTACAGGTACAATTCCCAATGAGAAATGTAATTGTGTTATATACCTAAAATGTACCAATAAAAGAATTTAACAATAACAACAAAAAAGAATAGTTGTGCTTTTAAATTTGAGTATAATGTTGTTTCAACAAAAGTAAAAAGTTTTAAAACCATAAGCCTAGACTTTAAGGTCCCCTCCAACCTTGAGTTTATGATTATAATACAGTATTTACACAAATATTAACCAGAGCTATTAAAGTCCTCAGAATTAAATCAAGCACTTGTTACTATGGTATTTATAACTCTTTATAAATACACTCACACTTATATAATGCTGTTTGTCTTCTACATCATCTTTGTCCACCAGGATTTTCCGAAGTGGTGTTTTTAATTGTTTTGATAGTATAGCTGAATCAATATTTTCCATTCGTTCTTTCTCAGTAGTCACTTTTACTTTGAAGGTATGAAAAGGTGTTGGGACTTCTCCCACATTTAAGTACATAGGGTCCCCTTCAAATAGGACTCTTTCAGAATCACCATCCTTAAAACCAGGAGGCTGGTAATCTGGGGGTGTAACTGCAATAAAGCAAGTATAAACTGTGCTGCTCATAAAAGTGAACAAATTGTATTACAATTATAAAAACACAAGCAGATTAAATTTCAAAGAATATACTACTCAGCCATAAAAAAAGATACACTTGAGGCATTTATAGCTAAATGGATGCACCTTGAGGCCATACTCTTAAGTGAAATACAGAGGACACACATGTGTAAATACCAAATCATTTCTCTGGTGTGAGAAACTAAAAGTGTAAATGAGGGCCAAAATGTATAACAGATATTGTGAAATAGGAAGAAAATGTTCAAAGGGGAATGGAGAACTAGGGAAGGGGGACGGGGGAAAGGAAAGAAGGGAAAGAAAAAAATTGAAAAAAAAGAAAAAACGGAAACAAAGCTTATTTCAAAGAATATAAAAGTACATAATCTGAAAAATAAGAATCACCCTCCTCCCATCTCCAAGTCCTCACCTTACTCAATGAAAGTAACCTCTGTTTTTCTTCACTGACTGGGTGACCTTGAGCAAATTATTTATCACTCTTGTCAAACAGGGAAAATAATATTTACCCTCATAGGGTTATTGTGGGTGAAAGTTGAATTAATGTGTAAAATGTTCAGAACAAAACTGGCACACAGCAAGTATTTGATAAATGATAGTCATTATTCTCATAGTTTTATGTTCTAGTAAACATTATACAAATAATAAAAGATCTAATATTACATATGTATGTTAAGGGAAATACAGTACCTATATATTCTTTAAAAACTTAAGTGGGGGCCAGGGATTTAGCTCAGTGGTTTCGCTGCCTGCTGAGCAGGAGGCAAGGAACCAAGTTCGATCCCCGGTACCAAAAAAAAAACAAACAAAAAACTTAAGTGAAATCATCCCATTCTGTACCTAGTTGTTCTTAATTTGTAAAATCTCTTGGACAATTTATCACCATTTTTCTTAACAGCTTGCACAGTTAATCTATTGCATCAATGCACCACAGTGTATTAACTCAACCCCCAAGGAAGGACACTTAAACTGTTCATTATAGCCAATGCTATAATAAAAATTCTTACAAATCTTATGATCTTACTTTTTTTGCAAGTACATCCCCAACATTGTTTGGTTTTTTTTGGTACCAGAGATCAAACTCA